CGCCCCCCCCCCCCCCCACTCTATTTAAAATTAATTGATTCGCCACTCGGCAAGTTCCAAGAGTGTCATTAAGCTTGGGAGTTCACGGGGAAATACATTTCTCGCACTAATCAGAGATCATTACTGGCCTACTGAGAGCACGGATTTCCATCCATTGATGATGAGCGAGACCGAGTGTATTCATTTCTAAACCTTAATGAGGTATATCAATAACCGGGCTGAACACGGTTGCTAAGTTGCCAATGAACAACCCTCACAACCAACCACTTGTTAACTTACGTCAATATATAACCATGAGAAAATAAATGAATTAATATACTAATTCACAAGTGAAGCAGGACTTTATAAGATTCAGTGTAGGCCTAATGCGACGTGTTGCGGCGGATGTGAAAATGTTGCTCTAGTAATCGCAGATGGACGTACAGCCATAAAAATGGGGATCACGAAGGGGAAAGTAGTCCGCCACCGTACTGTAATGTTTTTTGACCTATTTTACAGTACGGTAAACTGTTTTTGGGAATACAAATTATAGATCAGAGAATCAGATATCACGATAGGTTTATTACCATAAACGCTTTGGGCGTTTGTCTACACAGCAGAAGATCGCGGTTCGAATCTCGTTCTTTTCACACTCTCAGATTCCTCTTCTGTATTCAAAATGTATGTAGAGTAATATACGGTAGCATTCGCAAGACGGATTAGAGTTCTTCTATTAAAAACATAAAATACGAAATTCAATAATAATTTTGATTAGACATTTTACGTATTTTAAGTAGGCCTATCCATTATATTTCAAGTGGCAGATCGTGAAATTATTTCTAATCAAACTTAGACCTTACTTCATTTTTACTATTTTTCTCTTGTATATCATTGAGTACTGCACTCTGCTGACGGCAGTTTTTCGTATTTTTTTATTATTATATTTTCATATTTGCCTGTATAAATATAGATATGTGAATCGATGAGATTGAACATATAATAGACCACAAAACATCCAACAGCAACACTGGAATGTCTATTCTCTAAAATGTTTTTTTTTTTTTTTTTGTTACAGAAAGTTGTATTTTATTGAAAATGAAATCATTCCTTCTGCGATTAAATTAAAAATAGGCTCCCAGCGGGAGCGTGTGTCAATGCCTTGACATGTTTTTGCTCTGCTACTTTTAACTCATCCGTGCTTTCTGTGTTGGTATTCTCAAGAATAACTTTACAGGTCTATTACCATGCGACTTTTTTAAGTGAACATTCTAGGACGTACAGGTATTGGCTAATTTTTATCTTTAGCTCATAACCCATCCTATCGTTCCTGAATCGGATTTACTCTACCCAGGGAGTTGTTGTCGCTATAACAACTCCCTGCTCTACCGGATTTACTCTTACAAGGTCAAGTGCCAGACAACAAAGTGTCTTCTACCAACCTGGGGAAATAGACACAAAAATGAAGTCTTTAATGTTTGAATGCGCCGAACCAGTTCCGTACGTGGTGCTATTTAAATATTGCCAATAGCTCGTGCGCTACCGTGCGTCAACGGAATGGTTTATATTTGGACACTTTGATATCCTGATGGCCCACCTCCTCACGTAACGACATCAATGTCAAAACTACAAATCGAACAATTCCTCTGACTATTTACGATTTTCCCATAGAAGGCAATGTTAAGTAAAGTAGCGAAGACTTGAAATGCAGAAGAAGATTTATGGTTTGGTAATGGAATGAGGATAGCGGAGGATGAGAGGGTAAAGCCTGACATTTTGGTTATTAAAGATAATTTTTCGACAAATGAGTTTTGCTACTTTAGAGCAGAGCATTAAGGTCGAGTTAGATGACAGTTGGATCGGTGGATGATTGATGGTTGGGGTCAAGTGATGTCTACGTCATAGTTCCATTGATGTTAGAGTGACATTAGGAACGTGGGGATATATCGCTAGATATACTGTATTCTGATTGTAAAATATAAGCTCGGACTCGCCAATTCAATCCGTTGTACTTTACATCGATCCTAGAGGGAATTCCTGTCAACTAGCTTGAAGACAAATGATTTTATATCTGTCTCTTATACACATCTAGATGTGTATAAGAGACAGGCCCTAGCTTTTAATGGGGTATATTAAGAAGATGCCTAGATCTAATTCAGACGGAGGACGAGATATTAGACAAAAATCAGGTCTCCAGTAGTAGGCCTAATGTGTCGTATGCTAACAAATTAATGCAACTAAAGCTAAAAGAGCCATCCAAATCATTTAAGCTATGGGAGAGCACTGATAAAAACAACAGAGATCTCTTCGGAGTGGCAAAGTCATTAAATGGTAAATCGACAGGTTAGGAAAGCTCTAAAGGAAGGGACAGAGGTCAAAGACAGAAGGAATTGCGGGAATCTCTACGCATTTCAAGAGGAAGCTTCGGTTGTGCAAGCAGATTCTCCCTATGATGCAGGAGCCAGATATCAACCTACAGAAAGTTAAGAATGCAATAGGTTTATGTAAACTAAACGAGCAAGAGATCAATAAAGGGCATATTAGCAAATGTCAGAAAAATAGAATGCTCTAAAACATGCCAGAAAAAATCCTAAATGAGAGTCTCAGACGAAATCTTCAGAAGAGGCTTGCATGCCCACCCACATTCTAATCACATCTTAATCTATATTAATCACCCTTAACCCACACTCAGATCACATTCACATCATAATGTTAGATTTCTGAAATCGTTTTAGCATCAGCAACACACATCGATTTTGACGGTGCATTCACAAGACTTGCAGAAATCAAACCAAGCCACGAATACCAAAAAAAAAAAAAAAAATCTTATTTTCTGATAATTCATTTATTTATATACTACAAAGATGGTAAACAGTGATAACCCACTTAACATTTGAGCAATTGCAAAATTGAGGGACATAAAAAATGTCAATTCTAAGAATATATTTGTTTATAAATCATTTATTTATTACCATTATGGTCAACCACTAATTCATCATCTATTGACATTTTTCACCTCATCACACTAACACCACCGGCGACATCGTCAACATCATCGTCATACACACAGTCTTAAAACATCAACCACAGCTACCAACATCAACATTCATTATCATCTACCAACCCATCACCACCACTCTCACCGCCACTACCAGTAACACTGGCATCGTTGTCGCCATTGTCGTCACTGTGATGATCGGTAATTGTAAACATTACCGTTGCCACTGCGATACTCACTATCAGCAACATCATTAATGTTTTTCACATCATCTTCCTCCTCATCATCATTTTCGTCATCGTTGTCATAATAACATCCACAACCACCACTGACTGCCATCATCGTCATTTATTAACCACCACCACAGCCATCATCAATTACAACCTACAGTACCACCACCATCATCATAATGGACAACACACACACGACCGTCATCATTCACGACTATCGAAGCATCATCTCCAAACATCACCCACCAATGCTCCATTACCATCTTCAACACTGCTACCGCTGTTTTCATTATCACCACCGCTGTTTTCATTAGCAATAGTAATTTTACAAAAATAGTAATTTGACATTTTCATTGGAATCTTTAGTAGTAATCAGAATGGTTCTCAAAATCACACTCAGAAGTAATTTAATTCATTTAATGAGGTGCATATACAGTACTGTATTTAACTATTCAATTCAATTCAAAATATAAACCTGCTTTTACAACCTCTTTATCCTAATTTTTAATAATCATACTTGTGTTGTCTTAGGCACTATCAAATCAAACATTTATTTTTGGTGTACGGTGGCATTGTGCACACCAGAAGGCAGATGCTACACAGAGCACTTCAGATGAGTTGTAGGATACCACTGAGCCTTCCATAAGGATGGTGCCTGAAATGCCAGTTGCCATGATGTCGGGCAGAAAGGTGGTACTTCGTAGGGTGTAGGAAGTAATTAGGAAGCTTTCGATTTGTGCGATGAGGCGACGCTATAACGGAATCACTCATGCCTGAATGTCCTACATTCCCTACGTAGATTTGGCGAAATTGCGTTCCAGAATCTGCTCGATGAGGTGACCTTAACGTTCTCGCATGCGCAGATGACTTTTAGTGACGTCATTACGTTGTACGTTCTACCATCGTCGTGCAATTGAAAGCTCCTTACTGTGGCTGCAATAAAATAAAAATGTTTATTTACTTATGTTTATTTATTTGTATCTATCTATCTATATTGATCTGCATTTATTAATGTGAATGCATAATGTAAATCTTTATAAATGTTAGTAAAAGAAATATAATATGTAACTATTTTATTAATAACTTAATTTTTGCATGGGCTGAACATTTGGTAAGGTTTACAATTGTTTGGAGGCTGGAAAACCATCCAATGTGTAATATATTCACAAACACAACAAATGACCCAACTGTTTTAGTGACAGGCACTCTTAGCAAGCAGATTTCAGGAGATTGATTTTAGGTAGGGAAATTTTGGAAGGGAAGTTTTAGAAAGGAGTTATAGGAAAGTGATTTTTAGGGAGAAGAAGTTTAGCATGGTGAGTTGTAGGGATGTGTGTTTTAGGAATGAGGAGTACTGTATTTAGAATGAAGAATGTGAACATGCTAACATAAATTTAAACTCCCCCAATCAAAACGTTCTCTGAGATGACAGTCCCTGCAAATAACTATTTCAGAAATTATATATTATTAGAAATATGATTCTTGATGGCATTAGACGGTTAACAAGCAATTGATTTGTGTCTAATGACTCTGCCCAGCATGTCAATATGATATGATTTCTGCACTATTATTACCGGCTGCTACTCCACTGGGACCGTGGCCTAGCAATCTAACCTAGAATGGACAAAGGTTGCTGTCCAACCACAAGCGACTCACTCAAACACAAAGATCAACTGAAAGTACGTAGGACTTGACATAAAAAAGCACGGCCAATATATATAATAAAAAATTTTCACATAATACTAAAACATTCTATAAGAAACCACAGTTATTGTATATTATGTCTGGTATGTCATAATTTTGAAATTAATCCTTTCATGATTAAAATGTGAACATCCATCCTGATGATTAGCAATGATTCAACATATTTCCAACAACAGGACTGATTTTTGAGCACTGGCCTAGAAAACAGATGTCAAGCATAATTTAAACTCATAAAAATCACAAGCCCCTATAGATCACTCGGACAAATGAAGACTTAAAAATTTATGATATATGCTTGGAAGTTTTTATTTCTAAAACATAAACATACTTTTATTAATAATAATAATATTATAATAATAATAAATATAATAATAATATTAATTTAGGAAACACCAATATCATTAAACGGAAGTAAAAATCAAAGTAGCTGTGATTGTTTAGATGTTAAAAAAATGCGTTTTGATTTGGTCTTAAAAAAACTGAGGGTGATTTGGTAACTGCTTGATACCATACTAAAGATGACTCACTAAAGATCTTGTTTTACACGCAATTAATTGTTATTTTGTTTAAATTATAAAATTGATTAATTAAATAAATAATTTAATATCGTTTTATAACTTAGATTCACCACAGGATGATCATAACACCTGTTGTGAGTTAAAGGGCCTTTTCAACAACTGTATAAAACAATATCACAATTTATAATGAAATACTTATAGAAAAAACCTGTAATGCCTTTTTCTAAAGAGTTATTCTTATCAGAAACTATTGTTAGATGATTGTTGGCGTATTCGCACAACTGAATGAACGAGGTTGATGCTACGAGTTTTGAGCTTTGTTAACTCAAAGCCCTAGACCTGCCATCCTCAGTTTACATGAGAACATGAATACAACATTAAAAAAATACGATAAAAAACTGAATCAAATGTATTTATAAAATGCAGTCACAACATCAAAATGTACACTGATTTTGACAGTGGTAGTGTAGTCTCTTGTTACTATACATTTTATTAACTTATTTGTCATAATTAGATACGAGTTAAATATCTGCTAATTAAATATATTCCCAAACCCATCCCAACCCACATAAAAAAATTTGGAAATTGTTGAAGGAAATATTTATTATATTAATTTATGTTGGATATGATAGGGAATTAAATTCAAATTTTGTACTATTTAGATGCTTATTTGCCAATTTAAAAGTGCAATATATTCATCGAATAACAAATCTATCCATCTAAAAGAAACACATATGCACGATTAAAATTTATTAGAAATAAAGGAAAATAGAGAAATCAGTGCAAGATCTGTCGAAGACATTAATGGCGTTAACATGCGTAACAGCAGACTTTAAATAGTTACAATTTCTTAATGACATTTAACTAAGTTTTAATGTGTCAGGCTGATAAAAAGAAAAAAAAAAAAATTGGTTGGGGTTGTTAATCCTAAGTTCAAAAGTGATTATGATATTGTACATTTATTTCAATAGTTAGTATTCTATGCTTTTACACTTTTCTTTGGTTTACCACAAATACAGATTTTGAAGTTCTGTTCACATTATCAAACTTTCAAAAAACGGTTGTATGCCCATATTTAGTCATAATGTGCCTATATATAGTCATGATGTGATGTCATCATGACCATATTTAGGCATGTCACATGTTATTATCTACTACAGTCAAATTTGAAAGTCTGGACACAGCTTAAGAAATGGTAAGCCTATACCGGATTCATACAGCACAATGGAGCAAAATGTCAACAATTATTACACGGCTATTTCCCATAATTTACATCAATAAAAAGCCATGTAAAAATCTAATTAGAAGTGTAATTGAGTCAGAAACAAACATAGCATTTGCCTAGTGAAAAAAGACTATGTGGGATCAGGGCTATCAATATTAATGATGTCTCACTCTCTATAGGTAAAATAGTCACTCTGTAAAAATTTGTTTTGTGAAACACTAAGTAAAAATAAGCATAAACCTATCAGACATAAAAATGGATTTCTGAAGCTCTGCGCACACTATTAATTTTTGTGTCAAATTTGTCTAATGTGCCCATTGAGCACTTTTCTTTTGCATTATAATGTATATTTAAATATCAATAATAAAATAAATTCCTCGTCACAAGGACCATCCTACATTTAATTAATTTTTATTCATTTATTTGTTTATTGAACATATTCATGCAGGAACATGTCAGAAGGGTGTAACAACATATTTTACACACGCTCCAGTTTGGCAATATACATATAAAGTTTAGTAATAAATACATAAATCACATACCACTACAAAGTAAAATACAGTAATTTCTGAAATTCAAAAAGTAGAGCACTTTGTTAAAAACATAACAAAAATGAAACATTTTATGAGCCGGATGGCAGCTTCCTCTTATTTTCTCCACACACTTCCTATAAAATGAAAAGTAAAGGCTTGACCAATCATTTTTTTTTTTTATGGGAGGATTTAAGGTGGGATCAAGAAGAAGTAATACCAACATAAAAAACAAATTCCCTTGTGTAGGAGACACATAGGTGGTATATGTTATACACAGTTCAAACCACAGTTGTCTATTAATTATTTCAGAAATGCAAAGTTAATGGAAAAGAGTAAAATAAAATGTTTACCACATGCAATTATCAATTTGATAATGAAAGCAACGTCAGGCAACACGGAGGAACTTTTAATTAACAGATAACTACCTGATGTCTGTTACGTTTCCGCAACATACTTAGAACTATGAGTACGGGAAAAATGCACAAGGATGGCTGAAACAAAATCTATTATTATTTTGGCACCTTATGTTATCATTATGTATCTGGACATCTCACAGGTACTCAATATGCTTAAAAATTTAATATAAGGCCACTTTTGAGAAAAATATTGAACTTGGTTTGGGATTTAAATCAACAAATTACTACATTTCCCATTGTTATTTTTTGGTGAAGCTGACATAGTCAGTCATTAAACCAATCAATCAATCAATCAATCATCAGTTTTTACAACGTGCTGAAAGCACAGCAAGCCATATTTGGTTTGTCTTTAAAAAAAAAAAAAACGAACAGAGAGAGAAGATAATGACATGACAGCCTAGCTGATTTGGCTAAACTGTGTGTAATGATCCTTTTAAAGCTTTGGTTATAAGATTGAGCCAAATGTCTGGGTGGGGTATATCAGATAAACACCCAGTTCAGGATAGGACATAGGCCTTGCAATGTGTACAAGAATTTCCATTCCAAACTACTGAGGTTAAAGAGGAAGGTAGAGCATTAAACATGAAAATTACCCACATGTTAGGAGTGGCTCCACACATTAGGAGTGGCTTATACATCAAGTGGACACTTTATACTCCAAGTGGACATGTTATATGATATAGCATGTAGGTGCGTGAGCGTTCCCTTAGAATGGATACAAGAGTGATATAAATGCTCAATATTATTATCATTACTATTATTATCATTATAAATGGCTGCAAAAATAAATCGTATTGATTTAAACAAAGTGTATTTTAACATAAGGTGGAGTGCCAACTGTTTGGTAAAATCTAAGGAAGACTAAAGATTCAAAAAATATTTAGTCTTGTTGGATTTCTGAGCATCATTAATTAGGTTCCCGGATATACTAAATGCAACATCACACAATTCTCTTTCCAGCAGTAATGAATGTGTAATGCTGCTGAGATTATCATGGACCATTGGAGTATTACATAATTAAGAAACACAGACAGAATGCTGTGTGGCGTCCACTATGCAGTCAGCCGAAATAATTCTGACTAATTGAATGCAATTATCTTACTGTTTCGCCGCCTACTTCACTTTCATTTGAGACAGTTTAGGGAGAATAATAATAATTTTTAAAGATCAAAAAAAGAAAGAGATTGAGAAATTATTATATAATTAACTAAAAAAGTGATGAATAAAGGACCAATTGTCCTGTACAAAAATACTGACTAAAGTTTAGATGGTTTATTTTAGAGTTGTGTCTACAGGACTAACAGAAGTGATGTCCTAAGCTAGTGTGCGGTCAATAACAGACATACAGACACCAAGATGTTTTCATGTTTCCCAAAGAGTTACATTTAACACAAAGGTTTAATGTTAAAGGTTAACACAACAAGCAATGTTATATGATGACAGCATAATTGGCCACTGACATGGGCCTCCATTTCTCCAGATATCAACATAGGGAGTCATAAGGCCACAAAAAGTTTCCACCAACCTAGGGAGTCATAGTTACTCTAGGCTGCACTGAGAAATCTCCGCCTACACATATCAAACTGGGAGTCTTAATTAGGCACCAATGAGCCTCATCCTCCACATAAGATATGTGATACATATGAAATTTTATTCAATAACATTTATTCACAATACATTCATAAGTGATGAATACAAAAATTACTGAAATAAATATATAAAATTGACAACTGATTACTGTACATGTCGATGAAAATATGGAATTTGCCTGTGTACCAAACAAAACAGCTCATAAAACGATTGTTCTATGGATTAATTGAGGAGTGGGCATCAAATAGGTTAGAGGATCAAAGTTAATTTTTGATTAAAACTTAAGGCCACATCCAAACTCTACTGGGAAGAAATAATCGATTAAAAATCGCTTTTTTGAAAAATCGCTTTTATTCTCGCAGTAGAAACGGGACCAGTTTGAAAAAGGCCATTAAAAAAAATCGATTAAAAACATGCAATGGATAGCGTGTTTGAACAGCAAATAACCAATTTTGGCTATGCACCTTTTAGCTGCAACACAAAAAAAGTGAAATTTCAGGTGAAATGTGACCCCCAATCACTGCAAAGACTAGATAGTATTAGGCGCAAACTTTCAAAAAAAATTTGTCCTCTTGTTCATGTCCTAGGCCTACAAGCTAAAAACGTCAAAGAACATGAGGAGTGACGAATTCGTTTTGTAAATATTTTGTTGGGGGAGGGGATATTGGGCCTAGGACTCTCTGCTCTTTTGGGCCTACCGTTGTCCTCGTTTGGTCGTCGTTCATAATTGTACCGATGAGCACAGCCAAAAACATTTGCTTTCTCGCCCCACACTGTATCTTACTCCTCGTCATCATGACAGGAATGAGAAAGATACTATCCTATACAGTTAGGAAAACAACGTGTTGTATACGGAAAATGGTGACTTAATTTCCATCACGAAAACCTATTTTCGAAAAATCAAAAATGTTGTTGCAACGCCAGCTGGCTGTCTGGTGCTCATTAAAAAAACGATTTATAAAAATCAATTATTTTGTGTTTATCAGTAGAAACACACCCTAACTTTTAAAATCAGTGTTCGGGCCTGAAAAAAGAAGTTTTCTAGGTAAAGGAGGGTGGGCGGACCACATGTTATAGGGTTGTCACGAGATGCAAAACAAAAATTGTCATCAGACAGCGCTGTCCCACTTTACACACTTGTGGCTTAATTGATAAGAAAATGTACTGTCTTATTGTCGTCATGGTGTCTGGTCACTGGGATACCATTTAGTTCCCCATTTACTAAGTTGTGTAGGCCTTTGTTCCAGTACACTGAGCCACCCAATTGATCAGCTCTGGCTGGAGGGACCACCTTCACCAAATATTGTTGAAATAAATAAACTAAATAAATAAACACAAATTGTGTAGCACACAATCTTATTGATATGACCCAAATCCAACTGGACTTTTAGGTCTTACAATCTCATCTTATCTCATGGCTCACATACAAAGCAATTTGGGTTGCCCTTCATAATATGCATTCATGTTAAACAACGTACACAAAAATCAAATAACTCCTGTGAAAACTTTATCTGAACCAGGATAAAAATTCAAACTCAAATTAAAGTTGAAAGATCGGTTGTGTAAGCATTTCAAGGTCATGTATGCCACAAATTTTTTAGATTATTAAATATATTAATGTATAAGGTAGACATGAGCGAAAATAGTGGATAATAATGATTCATTATAATGCTTATAACGTGTTTTAATCTTGATGGCAACGACCATTTGATATGAGCGTTGTTGAATTCATTGTCAAGGACAAACGAGGAGCCTTCTTTCTCCTTATGATTTATTAGATAATAAATTACTTAATGTCCGTCTCATTAATGAGAAGATATAAAAGCGATTAAATGACTTATTTACATTACAATACAATAATTGCATAAATGAAACATTTCACCATGACATTCATCATCAATCATTATCATCCATATTATCTCCCCTTATTTGTATTTAAAATTTTAAAGTTTTGCATAATTTTTTACAAGTAATCACTGTTATTAATCTAATTCTCACATTTTGTCTACTTCAAAAGTTAATGTATGCATATTGCATTCATTTTAATCTACACCATATTTCTTCAGGTTGTCTGTCAGACAAGTTCAGACTCAATAGACAATATTTAATCAGACTTGATGGGGTAAAATAAAGATAAAGGTAAGAGAAAAGCCTGTAACTCACAGCGTCATTGTGCTGAATTGCATATGGGCGTGGTCCGAGACTACCTAGCGGCCGTAAAGAGGTGCTTCATGGTAGATACATGCTCACATCATTCCACAATGAGTGGGGCTGAAATGAACCATAGCATCGGGGTAACCACCTACTCTAAAAAAAGATGCAATGCATTCATTAAAGTGCACACAAGTCAGATAAGTACACTGAACCTCACGTTTTTAAGTCTTTTTCTGAGAGGACTTGGTTCAGTACCAACCACACCCTGGACGTAAAGTGACTCTAACTAGCATCAATGTTAAAGCCGTAGTTACCGGCGCCCCTGTCTTACCACTTGGCCATTTGACTTGCCAAACATTGTCTATCTGGCCTAAAACAAGCATACACTGCCAGAAAGTCTCATCAAACATCTCCTGAGTCTGACAAAAACTTTTATGGGTGCATATGGGGTGTTGGGAAGGACGGCTGAGGAGGATGCAAATGGTGCGATCGCACCCCCTTCCCCCTAAATTGTAATAAGAAAATAATTCTTGTATTGTATTGTTGATATGAACATAGTACTGGTAAGATTTTTAAGGTATGAGAGACTGAGAGTGTAATTTCCAGTCAGATAGTGGTCCATGTTCTAGAAGTTTTCTCCCCTGAACCCCAACCATGTTGGGGCTGAGGTGGTGTTAACTCTCAAACACCCCCTACTGCCAGATCCTGCATCCGCCCCAGGAGGGGGTGCATTTGAGCACATCTCATATAATTGTATTTGTAGTTACTCAGAAAATACTACACGGGTATACTAAACATACTGCCAGTATGTAATGAAACTACCGCAGGAGTACAGTAGTTATAGGAGGATCATAGATGCAATTTATAACATATCCCATTAACCCATTTATTTTTGTTCTACATCTTGTGGTAAACTCTCAGTAGTGGTACTCATGTTTTTTTATGATTTGCGCTACAAGAAGTTGTGTGCCAAATTCTAGTGGAAGCATCTTATTTATGAATAGGCTCCATTCAGTCTCCTCTCCCAACCAGCTAACAGAAACATAATATGAAATCTTGTCTTGATTGCGAGCCAAACCAGTTGGGATAAACTGTCATATTTTTTACTAACCTGTAATGTGACCAAATTCTATTTTTTTCCAGTGCATGAAAATAGAATTTGGTTATATAACAGTAGCAAATTTAGATACCTATTCTTTACTACTGTTATGTAATTCTATTTTAGTGCACTGGATAAACCATCATGGAATCAATGTTATTTATTATTGTCATTAGACATAGTTGCTGTGATGGGAAGGTGCCTACTGAACCACAAACTACCGTTCAAGTGAATGGACTGTGGCGTGTTGTTTGTCCCCCGGCGGGTTTACCTCATCCCACCACCATCAACGTACATCCTGCACTCTGACAAGCTAACACACGCTTGTTATTACACTGCACATGCGCCACATAAACCAACACATTAGGGTACCAATGTGTTGACAGAGATCCTTCATGTCAAAGTATGATTTAAATTATTCTATTATGTCGTTAACCAACACATGCTCGTCAAGCTAAAAGCCTCTGTTGGGATGTGCTGGGAAAACATCGCAACAGCAACCACTAGCACCAAAAACTTGTACTCAAATGCAATTCTAAATTGCCTGTATCCGGAATTTTTAAAGGACTGATGAAATTACCGTTGAAATGTGAAAATTATAATAGAATCATATCCTAAATCCTATCTTAGAAACTCTTATATCCTATCGTAACAACTAAACTTGGCAAGATTTCATTAAATAGGAATTCTTTAGGTCCCTTCACCAGAAAAGCCTATTAATATAATATATGAAGTAAATAATTCTAATACAGAGACAATCTTTAAACTAATATGCAACCACTGTACCAAACACTACAGTACAGTAGACTTTAATTAAGAAATAGTTTTGAAAAAAAACCACTTAAGATTTCCAAAAATTCTGGATTGGTCTGGCAAATAAGGATTTTTCAGATTGATAAACCGAATGTAGAGAAATTTCAGAGCCTGAATTAATATTATTTGCAAGAATTATTTAATATAAGTAGATATAAATGTCATTACAAACCCAAATTAATACGAAGTATGAAACCATGAAACATATGCTACTTTTAGTCACTAATTTGTTGCCTAAATGGCCTATAATAAAAGGCTTTCAAGGCGCGCGGTACCTCCTCCATCGCGAGTAATTCAACATGACAGAACAGGCGTCAATAAAGGAGGAAACACTCCAGAATTAAAAGGCAAGAATCCTCGGAGGGGTATCTGCGATACAAGAACACTATTTCAAAATACTTACCACGATTGGTAGCCTAATTTCAATACCTATTCACAATTGAAGACAAAATACTCTAACACAAGCTTACTACCCATAGAAACTAATGACTGAACAGTGGCAGATCCAAGACTTTGAAACATAGAGGGGGGGGGGAGGGGCTGAGAGAGGGACTTTCATAAGCAAGATAGAGTGTCCACCTACCTAAGTCACACCATGTGTGGTAAGAAAAATTTTAATTACGGCACCTCTAGATGACCAGAAATGGCACTATCAATTTTCTCTAAATCTCCATTTTTTAAACTAATTTTGAAAAATTTATTGGGAGGGGGGAGGGAGGCCGGCTGTCTTCCCCTTTGAATCCACCACTGTTGATTCTACCTGTAAACAACTTACAGATTCAGATACTATATATAGAATTCAGAAAGGTGCAATTTTGAGGAAAATTTAATGCTTGCAAGTTTCATGGCACAAAGTCCCTACCTTTAGAAAAGTCAAAGAAATGCAAATTAATCGTAGTATTGATAAATTATAGAATGCCTCTATTTCTGTTTTCCCATACTTTTTATGAAATATATCATATATAATTCATTATTATATCAATGTATCTCTGCCTGTTCCAAAGCCTGGTTCACATCAATCATAATACCAATTATATAGATCACCTGAACAGACACATTCTAGGTCTTGGCAACCCCCCACTATACCCTGTCACTGTGAATTATACATCTAAATAATAAAAGGTCATAGTTTCTGGTAGCTTCACCCCAGATGCAGCTTGTGCCTAGTCACTTAACCAGGGGTCCAAATTATCCCGGAAGTTGTGGGAGTATCTCAGTAATGGGATGATCATCTGCACTTCAGCAACTGGATAAAAATCTCCTGGAAAATAACCATCTCCCGCAAATTCATTAAATCTGCATGTTTTTACTACTGTATTACCCTTTTACTGTCATTTGTCTCAAGGAAGTGCATGTTGGTTGGTATCAAAACAAAATGAGATGTTCTAAAAAAGCTTGTTTAAACCAGTAGGAAAGCCACTGGAAAAAAACGTGTCGAATTTTGCCTAGGAGAGGGCGCCCTATTATTTGAAAAATTGGTGGTGTTTTAAAAAATGTTAATTTATCTAATAACTTACCTAATAAAACAAACAAAATAGTAAAATATGTTTATAAGTAGTTACACAATATAGTTAAGTATTTTTGGTGTATTACACCTGAAATCATAAAGTGTAATTTAATGGAAAATTTGTGATATACGATTTTTACGATTTTGTACCCTAGTAAACCGTTAAATTGACATAAAAAAAAATAAAAATTGAACAGATACGAATAAAAAAAAACCAAAAAAACAGAAACAGATTTTCTGGAAATGACTTCTTCTAAATTGGGATCCCCAGCTTAACTAACATGCAACTATGCAACCCCTAAACCCTGTAGATAACTGGGCCATTAGAGGAAAAGATATAAAAGAATGATAACACATCACATTTGGACAACTACCCTACGATGATGGTTTAAATCAGACATCTAATTATACCTAACATGTCACAGGTTCTGGGGCTTTTCCCCCAGACTACAACTTGAAACGACAAAAACAGACAGGCAGCCTCTAGACCAAGCCATTAAAAACCTGCTGACTGCATAAGCTGCTCTCGGGCAGTGGCCCTGGTATTGAATATCTAGTGAGTTTTCTAGGTTCACAATAGCTGTTAGACATGTGAATAAACACCTGAACTGCAATGGAAGACGATTCATTAATTTGCAACCTTGAGTAATCGTCTAATTTGGATTATTTAAATTTGATATGAACAAGGTTTCAGTCATGACCTTGAATACAGTATGCTGACACTTAGGTATTAAATTACACGTTTAAATTGTGAAGTGTTGTTTTATTTAAATATTTTAATACATACTGGGTTAACCAATTTTAATGTTTTTGATATGCATATTTTTTTGTTTGTGTCCAACTTTTTATCCATTTTAAATAATTTTAATATTTTACAGTGTGTACAACCAATGCAGTTTTTCTTTGGATGAATAAAGATTACTTTGACTTTGAATTAAATTTTGGAACAAAATAACTAATTTTAATGATTCATAATCTAAACAATTCTGTAATAAACCATGCGATTGAGTTGTCTGAATCATAGGGCGTATTCAGAGTAGTGCTTGATTAAACAAGCAAGTGAGTAGGTAAGTTGTAGTATTTTTACATCTTCCTGGCTGTAGGTAGGTATTAAGTAGGTAGGAATGTACATAGAGGAGTAGGCAGGAAGGTAGGTAGAAAAGTAAGGTACTCTAGGTAGGGAGATGTAGGTAAGTAAGTATGCAAGTAAGCAATCAAGCAAACAGCAAACAAACAGCAATCAAGCAAGCCAGCCATAAATATTTCTCAGATGAAACAACAGACTCACTGAATAAATGTATGTTGAATCAATATAGCTTCACTCTTTTTTTATTTGGAGTGTGCATAATATTACATTTTCCCAAGTTAGTTAGTTTTAAAATCTCAGTGTTTCTCGTGACGCAACACTGTAGTACTCTACAAAACAATCAGTCAAGTTACTCATATCAATTGTAAGAACACTATGGCTATGTTCACACAAACACACACGGCGTAAGCCTGGCATTGTGTACGCCTGTGTGTGAACTAGGCAGTGGCGTTACTTACGCCACTCACAACACCACCTCCGTGGCGTTATTAACGCTACCTGCAGACCCCAGATTAGCTAACGCCACGGAGTAACGCCAGTGATGCTTGAGTGATTGGACCTCATTTCAAGAGATTGACCAATCACGATTGCAATAGATTAGTTACTTTGAT